ATTTTTTTCGACAAACAGTTTTTGGTTACAAGGGTTAAAAAATTGAATTTTATTGTCCTTATTTCAGTTTTGCGCATGTTTGCAATATGCTAATGAGCCGTAGTTTGGTTGTTTTACGAAAGATGGCAGCACATATTATACGCATAGTTTGTCATTAACCCACTGCAGTGTTGTTAACCGTACTATTAAGATAGTATTTGTACTACTTTAACATGGGCGAACCGTTGACTTTGGGGGCCCTGGGCTAAAACTCTTTGGGCCTATCAAGCATTTATACAAGGTGTCCCAAAAAGAAGATTTTTTTTTGGATAAAAATAATTTGACTTACCTAAATAAAAATTGCGTTGTTTAGCTGCTAAGTATGTAAAAGAGATTATTTTATACTGCAGTAACTGATTAACGAAAATCACGATTAGCAACCACAAATATTAATGGGTGATATTTTAACAGGCTCATATATGACCCTTATAAGGATATTAAATTTTATAGAAAAAAAAATAGTCGATTTTTGTTAATTAGGCTATTAAAAATTTTTTTAGAGAATTAAAATAAAGTTTAATTATTATTTTATGATAAATTTACTCGTTAAAAAGATATTTAAGACAAATTCATAGAAAATTGTTTTTACATTCCCGGTAAAACCATCAGAATTGTTACAAAATGTTGACAATGTTCATACATTTTTTGTATATCATTTTATTTTCTATAAAAATTTCATTTTTTTTATGTTTTAATACAGTCTCGTTCTGCCTCTTAAGATGAGTGTGTGTGCGACGGCCTACAGTGTGAGCGCTCCTAGGCAGTGTAAACGATACTTGTATGTAAACTCAAGTCCTAATAACGAATCTGATAATCCTGCAAGTTATCGGATGCAAGTGAACAAAATCAGTAAAACGAAAAACAATAAATAAAAATTAAATAAACAAGAAAAAATAAACGAAAAAAAAAGTTCGAAAAGTGCGGGTGGCCCCCGATTTAAGTCACAAAGTGCTATAACGTCGCAGAAGTTTGTGCGAGAGTGAGTGACACCGAAAATCCACCTGGATACTAGACTACCTGGTTGGTCACCACAATCGGCCAACACGGACTGTCCGCTAGGGACAGGGTAATAGAAATTCTATAGAATTTCAAGCCTAATTAGTCCAGCTAAGTAATTTTCCTAAAAGTCCCGAAGTTACTTACAGTTTTTTACATTAAACTCGTAAAGTTTGAATAAACACTTTTATTACTACAAAAATGTACAAAGATTTAAATTAATGCAGTTCAGACATTAATTTAACGAATAAAATCTTTGATATAAGCACTCTTGTACAACAACCTTTGATTGTTTGTTTTGAGATTTCTTGTTATTTGTTTAAAAAAAAAAATAAGAATAACATTTCCGTAAGTGTTAAACTAACAACCTCATTTTTCTCAGTGTAGCCAACCCATAATCAACTTAACCAAATAGAAAAATGCGTAAGAGTAAAAAAACCAAATCAAACATAAACGACACAAAATATAGAATTTTATAAATAAGTGTTGTATGTATATGCATTTAAATATAAGCACTAACTAAGAGATCAGCTAATAAATCAAAGCTTAAAATAAACAAAAGCCAAAAAGTAAACGAGCACGTAAACATAACATCACAGAAGATAAGAAGAACGACCCTCAGCCAAGGCCTGACAGACAAGGCCGTATTCCAAATTATTACGTACACTTCAGGGCCGGTTTGATCTATTTTGTGTATTAATATTTATAATAGTATTTTTAAACTAAATTTGAAAAAAAGTAAGAATGCAAAGATAATTAAATTTGGAAAAAAGTAAGAATGCAAAGATATAAATTAAATGTAAACGGTATACACACTAATTTAACAATAAAACAAATAAAGAATATACAAGGTCGGTAATAATAATAATAATAATAATAATAATATTGCCTTTATTTAGTAAAGAATGGGCGAAGTTTAGCAAAAGCTACTCTTCCACTTAACCCATATTACATGTTTGTAAAAATATCTACAATATTATAGTAAAATAAACAATTTCCTAAAGTAATCTCATATTAAATGTTACAAATTGTATTTGTGCAAAGAATGACAATAAAGAATGTAAATAAATTATATCAATTAAATCTGTAAACTAATAATAATAATGAATGCAAAGCCACTACAAAAAGAAACAAAAAAAAAAAAAAGGTTTTTTGTTTACTCAAACTGAGTACTCAAATATCTTTGTTTCAGATTCTTTCTGCATGAATTTAAATTTAGATCTTTAAGAATATAATCTTTGAGTATATCATAGTTTTCATTATATAACGTAACAGAATTGTATGTAAATGATTTGCAAAACCAGGCAGTTAAATGTTTAGGCATTGTCAATATGTTAACCCGTCGTATATTTACTTCATGTGCATCACATCTAAAAACTAGTTTTTTTCTAAGCGATACAGGAGATGAATTAGCTAGCACCTTAAGCGTTAAAATGATGTGCGAGATTTTCCATTGATTTTCCATATTAACCCAATTTAATTCTTTAAATTTTTCACTTATATGGTCATACTTGCGCAAGCCATAAACAAACCTACAACAACTATTTTGGACCTTTTGTATACGGTTTTTATCTATTTTGTCTAAAAAAGGAAAATATACTGGTAAACAGTAAAGCAAATTAGACAAAACTAAACTTTCACAAAGTTGTTTTCTTAATTTTGGCCCCAAAAAGTCATGACTGGCATATAGTAGCCGTAGTTTAAAATAACTGTTTTGCACAAGCCTGCTTACATGATCTGTAAATTTTAACTTGTTGTCATACAAAACGCCCAGGTTTTTCGCAGTGTTAGAAAAGTTTATTTTAAAGCCATTAAGTTCTATATTAGCATGGTTATATAAATAATCATATTTGTTAGGACTACAGAACATAACAGCTACCGTTTTTTTAGAGTTAAGTTTCAAATTATTTTGTTTTGCATACTCCGATATTAGTTTTAGGTCCAAGTTAATGTTATTTACTGCCCTATCCAGATCGTCAAACAAAAAACTATAATGTAACTGCGTATCGTCTGCATATCCCTGTATTGTTGAGTGTAATACTTTATTAAACATATCAGCTGTATAAATTATAAACAAAAGAGGCCCTAATATTGAGCCTTGGGGCACTCCCAGAGGCACGTTAGCAAGATCTGAAATATGATCATCTAATTTGACAAATTGACTTCTATCAAAAAGGTAGCTTCGAAAAAAATTTTGTGATACCTCGTCCAAACCATAATACCTTAGCTTTGAGACCAATAACAAAGGACTTATAGTATTAAAAGCTTTGGAAAAGTCTAGCATTAAAATAATTGAAACAAGTTTATTGTCCAAATCACGAGTTAAATTGTCATTTAATTCTAGCAATGCCGTGGCTGTACTGTGATTCTGCCTAAATCCAAACTGTTTTTCCGGTAAAATTTTATTATTGATGCAAAATGTGTAAAGTTGGGAGTGTACAATTTTTTCTAAAACTTTTGAAAAAATGGGCAAAAGGCTGATTGGTCGAAGGTCGTGATAAGTTGTCGGGTTATTAATTTTAGCTAGTGGTTGAACTACTGCAATCTTCCATTGTGAGGGAAAATATCCATGTTCTAAACAACAGTTTATGATATGCAATAAATATACATTTAAATGGGGCATGCAGTATTTTATCATATCAAATGTAATATTATCCACACCAGCGGAGTTTGACTTAATAGATGAGATTACTTTTTCTACCGTCTTTAAATTGGTTAACTGAAACTGAAAGGATATATTATTAAAACGGTTATTATTAAAGTATTGTAAAGCATTTTCCGAAATACATTCAGTAAGTCCCGATAAAAAATATTTATTTATTTCAGAGGGATTTTTAAGCTCTGTAGGTATATTATTCTTTTTACTAGCACAAACATTCATATTTTTTAAAGCACTCCATAGTTTTGAACTATTTTTTTGTTGGTCTAAGTGTTTTAAATATGCTTGTTTTTCGTTTCTGATAGCGTTTAAAGTAAAGTTTCTTACATTTTTATAAGCTAGCCAGTTTTCAGCTGTCCTCTCCTGTTTGTATTTTGTAAATGCTTTATTTTTTTCTGATATAATGCGCTTTAAATTACTGGTCAGCCATGGTGCGGGCGCTTTTGTGATGCGTCTAGTACATATTGGGGCATAAACGTCAAAGATTTGATTAATAAATTCTGTGAGCAAATTTACCTTTTGATCAATGTTGTCGTGATAAAATATGTCATCTAGAGGTAACAACTGAAGATCAGCATAAAATTTCTTGGCATCAAAGTGAGAAAAGTCTCTGTAAGTACGTAAACAGGGTATTCTTTTACGCGTAGGAATGTAAATTTCACAAAAAACCGCCATATGATCAGCTACTGTGTCCGCTAGGAGTGTTCCCGCATTAATAACTTTATGTTTAGTATAAATAAAGATTTGGTCTATTTCACGCGATGAGGTTTCAGTGTAACGTGTTGGTTCATGTATAAGCTTATGCATACCTAGTGAATTTAGACATCTATTTACTGAATCATTGGGAACTGAAAAATCAATGTTAAAATCTCCGAAAAGGATAACGTTATTATATTGAAGAAGTAGTTGTGGGCAAACATTTTCAAAATAATTAAATAAGGAGACACGCGTTACTTCCTCGGGGCAATAAATTGTACCAACAGCAATATTTTCTTCACCAATTTTTATACTTACCCACAAGCACTCTAGTTTATTTTGTTCTTCTGTTAGGTCTAACTCAATCTGTTTGCATAAAAAGCTATTTTTAACATATAATGCAACTCCTCCCCCATTTCTAAACCTATCGCGACGAAAAAGTGAATAATTGTCAATAGATACAAACTTTGAGTCAATGTTATTTGATAAACGCGATTCTGTGATGCCCATGAAATCAAACTTTGTTACAAAATGCCTTGTTTCAGAAAAGTGTTTAATTAAAGATCTAACATTTAAGTGACAGCATTTTAAATTAAATATTTTATTTTTATTATTCATAAACAATTTTTGATTTTAATAAACTAGTCTGGTATTTTAGAACTGGGCAATTTCTGTCTCTAGATTCATGATCACAAGATATCTGGGTTTTGTTTTTCTTATTATAGTTAACACAATTAATGCACTTTTTGATAGTTTTGGGACAGTCTTTTAAATCATGGATATCAGCGCAAATCGGACAACACACAGTATCATTTAAGCAATTTTTTGCAATATGCCCTAGTCGAGAACATTTAAAACATCTTGAAATGATTATATTATCTTCACAAAAGCACTTTTGCCATCCAATGTAAACAAAACCATTCTTAATTATGTTATTCCTTGTAGTAATATCAGTTTCTATCACAAAATTGTAGTTAAATTTGCCTTGAATACGCCTAATAACCTTCAAGTCCCCTTGTATATTATTGTTAGTACGCAAATCACTTAAGAAATCATCATCCTGAAGTTTAGCCATCTCATTATCGACGGAACGTATTAAGATGCGTGGCTTTAATTTATTAGCATCTGATACAGTTAAATTTCCACCAAAACACTCCTCTAGACTCTTCTTCAATTTTTCTTTGGAACTTTCTCCATCACAGGTAACTATTATGCCACTTTTCGCCACTTTTGTACTGCTTATTTGAATATCCAACGCCGAAGGGTTGATTTTACTACGTAACTCTTTCATAAAATCAGACGATTGCACCTCAGTATTTGATTTTATAAACAAACCAGCCGATTGTTTGTTTACTTGTTTTTTTGCTTTCTCGCTATAAAGTGAAGGCAAGGTAGTTTTTTCAGGAATGACGGTTAGGTTTTTTGCGGATATGTCTTCTAAACGCATCTCTTGTAATTTGTTTACCTTTTCAAGTTCGCAAACTAACTTTTTGTATAAATCTAATTCACGATGAAGAGACTCTGTCTCTGCTGAATTTCCATTTATTTCCTGGACTGGATCACCTGATGCACCCTCTTTCTCGTGGAACTTAATACACCATATTTTGCCAACACTAAGCACTTTGGAAACAAGATCAAAACATTTGCTATGTATTGCAAAGCCACAGGATTTGCATGTGATAAAATTTCTAAAATTATTACCACATATTTCACACTTTTTCTGTATTTTTTGATTACCGCTCGCGCCGGGATCATCCGGCGGTGGCGCCATCTTTGTGAGCCGGTACTCGGCAGGAGGAATATCCACGAAGGCAGAGGGCACTTACGGCGAGTCGTGGACGTCAACACTTCGGTACTGAAGACAAGATTCAAGGGGCAAACAATTCTAAAGAGGTTACCAGGAACCGGAAACTGACTCGGACAGAGACGTTCAGAAGTACAACAACAGTTTTGGGTCAGTTCAATGTCCTTCAAAAACCAACTTTTACCCTCCTTGTCCCGCTATCCACTAGCCTAAACTGGGCGTATGGCCCGACCCGGCGACAAATATTCGGGAGTGGCCTTAACCATCGACACTGTCATCCACGACCTCCTAGGGTAGATATACCAGCCGGCGTAAAAACTTCGGATCCAACAAACACAGGTAATGCTAAGCAGTGGCGTGATACGTAGGAAAACGGAAAGGGGGTAAAATAATCCTAGTGTAAGGTAATGTCGATGGGGTCTGCCATACGTCCCCATGCTCATACTCATACTCATACTCATTATTTTTCTTAATGTTTTAATTATGATTTACTGGGTTAACCAGTATAAATACAAATATTTTTTGTTAACATTCTTAGTTTCTTTAAGAAACTTTCTTGACCCCTTACTGGTAATATTCATAAGAAAAAAAAATTGTTTGCAATAAAATTGATACTTTCTTGAAATTAATTAGTATTTTAATCAGAATTATTAATTTGTAAAATTAGTAACTGTAGAACTATAAGTTTTAAAATTATAAAATTACAATTACAATTTTCATATAACTTTTTGTTATAAGTCTGATAGTTTTAGCGGAAAAGTCAGAAAAACTTGAAATTTACTAGAATATATACTTTATTTATATATTTATATTTACTATAATACGAGTATATACTTACTATTTTATAATAAATCAACTTGTTAAAAAGTTATTCAAGCTTAACATTACATTAATGTAATGTTAAGCTTGAATAACTTTTTAACAAGTAGATTTATTATAAAATAATAAAAGACCTCTTTGTAGAGCGTTTATAAAATTATATTTTTAATATATGTTGTTTTTATTTAAGTCCATTAATCCGTGTATACACGGATATCGACAGCAATAGGGTGTTTTCTAAGAAAATTGTATTTTTGGCGTACTATCAGGGGGGGGTCAGTAGTACATAGTATACAAGGCTTTAAAGTACATGGGCGGATTTAGGCATGGGCATTATGGGCTGCAGCCCCGTCCGATCGAGGGCCCCCTACATGATGCAAATATTTTGTTTTAAATATAAAACAGACTAAAAAATCTAGAGATGGGAATCGGAAAGTTTCCATTTTAAGGAAACTTTCCGTTTTGGAAAGTTTCCAATTGGGAATTTATTTTCATTTTGAAAGTTTCTTTTAACCTACCGGAAACATTTCTTGGAAACATTCCTTGGAAACTTTCCTTGTTTTTTTCATTTAAATGTCAATTGTTTAACCGCTGATTTTCGTTAAGGCCATGATACAAGGCCAAGAAACTTTGAATAAGAATTTAATTTGTGTTAATTTAAAGCAGAAGCAGAAGTATAAATAATGTAAGTTATGTTACATAACCTCAATGAAGCCGGATTATTCAGCATCAACACAAAAAACTTTTTTTAAAAAAAGTAACAAAATAAATACAATAAACAAAGTTAAAATCATTCTTACATTTTTGTTGTTTATTTATAGGCATAGCACAATGCCAAGAGAAAAATCTAGTGTTTGAAATTATTACAAAATAGTGCAAAAAAACAAAAAAGACCATGCTCAAAGCAAGTTCTGTAAGAAAATCTATGTCGTTAATGCAACCAAAAATTTGACAAAAAGTTAATGTGTTATATATTTTTGCAAATCCCTGGCATAAAAAAAATATTTTCGCAATAAAAAATTTTTTTTTGAAACTTTCGGAAAATTTCGGGAATTTTTGATGGAAAGTTTCCGGGAATTTTCGTCAAATGGGAATTTTCCCATCTCTAAAAAAATCAACTATTTAATAGTTGCATAAAGGTAAAATATTGAGCCTGTTGAAATTTCAGCTCTTAATATTTTTCTTAAGAGGCCCCCCATCGCGATTTTCTATTTTTCATTTAAATAGCATGAAGAAAAAATTAACTTGGGATTTATATATCTTTTTAACGGATTAATGGACTTAAATAGAAACAACAAATATTAAAAATATAATTTTATAAACGCTCTACAAAGAGGTATTATATATATGTATATGTGTTTTGTGTTTTCGTACTATTCATGCATATTTCTTCTTTAAAACAGAACACAAAACCTTTCTGGCATCTAGGTTATGTTTAGCTTTGTGCTTTATTTTTGTACTCAGTTTAAAAAACTCTGGGATGGATTATTTTTATATGGGTCTGATGCTTTAAGGTTTAATGTTTGAATAGAAAAAGAATAGGTTTGATATCCTCAAAAAAATTATATTTATTTTATTTTAGTTATGTTTCGGTTTATTTGAATATACCATCTATTAAAAAGGTGAAATCATCGTTCTTGTGTTTTCCAAAATTTTACTCATCTTACAGCAAAAATCTTACATATCTTACAAAAATAAATGAGTTCTGTTCGTAGATACCTGCACGGTGTACTTTATTGCACTTTTGACCAATCCTGTTGAAATATTGTTACAATAATCTATGCTGTTAGCTATTTGTAGGAGTTAGTGTAGTGTCTACGAATAGTAGAACAAAAAAAATGTAGGTTTTTGACTATTTACACATTTTTTTTAAATTAGCTAAAAAATATTTCCAACCAATTTTTTGGGACAAATATTTGTTTGTGGGTTCTAAACATGTTGAAATGTATCATGGAATATTTGCCGATTCTTATTATGAATAACAGCAGTGCTGTTATGTTAATGTTGACCAGAGATAATTGATAAATTATCTGCTGGTTGTTTACTACTGTAGAACGCAGCCTCACGTTCTAAGGGTTTGTGGCTTGGGGCAATAGTAAAGTCGAGTTTGTGAGTTAAAATGTAACTGGTTTTATTTATTAAATTATCACTATTTATATACATAATTTTGCTAACCTAAGTAATATTAACTTATATTTGTGTGACCACATTTGGTAACAATACAGGTACAAAAATGATTACTTTAAGATTAATTGAGGTCGAAATTTATAATTTTGCTGATTGACAAATAGTTGATTTTAAAACAAATAATTTGGAACACTTAAATTTAATTTAAATTATTAAAATTTTATATAATTTTATGTTTAAATCGCCAGATTTAACATTCTGGCGACTCGGCAAGAGAGTGGGAAACTGTCGCATATATTGGTTGGAGATTTATCATCTCTATCTGTGATCGAGGAGCTGCCTCAGGTGGTGTGGTTCCTTTCTTCATTGGCTGTATTTCTTCTTCCGTCATTGATGTTTTCCGAGTAGATTTCCGTTTATCCCAAGTCCTGATCCAGTATTGCCAAGCCTTGTAGGTGGCAATCATTGTTGTGCCAATGATAATGGCTGTTATGCAACTGGTTGCGATGGCGTGTTTCTTTATCTCTTTCCATGTAGTGGATTTTAGGTCTTCTTGGATGTTTCTTTCGCCATTGAAGAGACTTTCCAAATGGTCTGATCTTTCTACGGGTTCGACGTGTTGCATGATTGGTTGGTTGGTATTTGTGAACATCTCTTGGTTTATTTGAATGTTCTTGGAATATGATGCAATCACGGGAACTGCCTTTATCCTCTTAGGGGTGAGAATGTTCTGCTTGGTCTTTATGGAACATTCCTGGGAGATCTGAACAATGCATGGTGAATGAATGGTGGCTTCTTCCCTGACACCGTTGCACGTTATTGAAATCCTGGATGTATTGGTTGGAATCACCATCCACGCGTTTCCCATATACAATTCCTTCCAAATGTTCTCGTGTATAGGTCTTCTGAATATTTTACATTTGGTGGGGTTTTCTCGTTGGTATATTTCATCTATGAGACAATTGGGAGTTGTTTCCATTTTCTTCACACTTGCTGGTGAACACACATAACGGTTTATTGATGGCTGAATGGTATTTTTGAATTCTAGTGAGGACAGCTGGAAGTATAACTGGTTGTTGTAGTCTACTGCTAAAATTCCATCGGGAATTTCGGTGCTCCAATAAGTGTTATTTTGTATCCGTAGAGGAATCGAAGTGACCTTCAACACTGAGAAGTCATGTTTTCCTACTAGTAGAAATTGGCTGTAGACGTGAACATATTTGTTGTCAGTATGCAAGAATGTCTTTATTGTAGGGTGGTGGATAATATCTAATGCTGGTTGCAACTTTCTCTGCGCTTTGTGGAGGATGTTGTTTACATGAGCTGCTGACATGAGCTCATGTAAGTTTCCACGGCCAGAGAAAACAGAAATTAATTTGGAGAAACGGTGTTGTGTGTCGGTGGCAATGCTGTTTGCCACCTGAAATGTGCTAATAATATGAATATTTAGCGCATTTATATCTACAGCTCCGTACCAAGTATTCATTCGATTAATGGCTGCAATACCCTGGTTGAGTTTTAATCGGAATTGCTCTAATTGTTTGTTGATTCTTTGTTCCGTTTCATTAAAGGCAATTAAGGACGATATCATTAATTTGGACTGATGATTGGCTGTTTGTATTAGTTTCTTTTGATTTTTGTCCAAGTCATTGATATCTTGGTACACTTCTTCATTCACTCCAAATACGGAGGTGAGAAATTTTCCAAGTAGCCCTCTTTTCTTACGGTGGTTTGTTACGTCTTCCAGGGTGGTTTGCATTTCCTGAATTTCTTCTTGTAATACTCGAAGGTGCTGTGTTAATGTGGTGCATTGGGCACTTGACGACGTCGATTTGGTT